TGCACCTGTTCAACAACATCGTAATATCGTTCATAAACGCAGTCGCTTGTTGCATAAAGGGTTCTAGCCTGTTTACAAAGACGAATTTCTCCGGCGCGGGCGTTAATTTATTCTTGACGCTTGTGAACGGTAATGATTTTCGCGACGCGCGTTCCCAAGCAACCGAAGCTAGAGAAAAAAAAACAAGTACCCGTGTAAAATGATTGAAATCTCGTCAAATGAATTGGAAATTTATGGATAAACGTTCGTGTGTACGAAAAATGTGTTGAACGAGCGCCGCCGTTGGAATTAAATCGAAAACGAAGAGCTTTCAAGTATCGCTCACGCAGGATGAATTCGCGGAATTTGTAATACAATCCGACCGATGTAACACGACTATATGAAACGGAATCGAGATTAAAAAAATCTAGGAAATATAAAAATCTGACAGATTTGAATTTCTTTAATATTGCGTAAGCAATTTGATAACAAGCTTCCCGGAAAACATATGCATTTATCATAAAAGGATAAAACTAATATTAGTAAGTATGACATTTTCCACGTGACGTATTTCAAACTTTACGCGCAGTGTACAAACAGATCCCGCTGTCACGTGTACACACACATCGTAAATATACAAACCAGCGATCGATAATGGTAAACCGGACGAACTCATCGATTTCGCGGCAGTTTTGCGTCGAACGGATCAAAAAGCTGCGTGCCCTGGGGATGCACAGATCTGAAACCTGAGAAATTCACGGACCGACTGTCTGATCCATGTTTCCTGTCTACCCTTCAGGTATATTAACATACCAGCCTGTTGCGAAGATATTTATAGGCCAGCGCATGGAGTACACGCTCCCGCAGGGAAACGTATTTCTTTCATGGTGAGACACCATTTTTTATCTGCTCGACGTACCAACAACGAGTCTGAAGGCTGCATTATCCCCGTTCGACAACTGTAGAACATAAGATACATTGGGATCCATCGATTCCAGAACTAAGCTTCCTATACAGTTTTACAAGCTCGCAAGGTGTCTAACCGTGAACAAATGTTGGTAGGAACCGTGCTAATCAACCGGCAATCTCGTGGGCTCAACGTCGTTTCAACTTTGAACGTGTCCTAGTCAGACGAATGCAAATAAGAACTTATATGGCAAGCTCTCCGAAATGAGTGTATATGTATACATGAATTTTGAAATTTGTCTCTTCTCGGTAAAATAATCTCTATATCTTTATCACCTTTGTAAAAGAAACTGTTTTTTCGTAGTTCATGCAGTTGTCTAAATGCCCCAAGCAAAAACTTCAGGAGTTTTTCTATATATACAGAGGTCTGAATTTAATGCAACGTGGCCTCGGAAAGGAGCTACGGCAATCTTGTTTCCTGGCATCAGACATTGTAGGATATTCCAGTGAAATTGGTCCGTAACGTAGTAGTATGATCTACCTACGGCGTACGTTGATGGAATATTTTCAGCTACGTGTACGATAAAAGTAGAAAAGACTCAGTCGTAGGTGCGACTTCCTTACGAAAAGTGATACGAGAAAAGAGCATAATTTTCCACTGACATAAATTTTCGCGCATGTTCAACGTTACCGAGGGGCTGGGAAAGCTTTGTACAAACAGAATTGTCCGCAGAATTTCACCGGGGGCGGTGGAGAGGATACCTGAATAACGGGTGCAACGAGACACCGCGCAGAGCCCGTGCCCGCCTGAACGGCTCGAAAATCGCCTCTAAATGAGGCGGAATGCGCGTTAAAAGCGATAGGCAGAAAACTGACTCGTCCTTGAACCCACCCTTTGAAACAGTAGATACTGTGATAAAAAATTTCATTTACGCTTTTGATGGATATTTTGCATTAGACGATTCATTTAGGTTATAAATCAAGCGAATTTCTAAGAATACAGCAGGACTGCCTAATGATATGATATAATTCTTTTCAACGAACCGCTGAATGCAATTCAATTTGACGTAACTGACGTAAATCTATTCTCGACCCATTACGACGTTACTCATTGAATAAATCATATCCATTGGAGCAAGAAGGAAAGTTAAAAGCTGAATCGCTTAATATTTTCCACCGTCGCGGTTGGTTTGCGTTAAGAAATTCCTTTTCAATCGATCGAATTCCGCTGGTAATCGAATTTGAATCCTTTGAGTTAACTCCCCAACGCAGTTCCTTCTTGGCTTTGTGTTTTATTTGAGACCAGAGCAATTTTCGAACTAGATCTCGTGCCATTTCCTTAGTGCTGAACAGCAATCTCGAGCTTTTATGACAGCTAAATCTTTTTCCTTTCTACAGAAAAGAAGAACCGTGTGTTATGTGCGTATAGGTACGCGTCAAAGCTTGCTAGAATATCTTGTTGCCATTGGTCCTTTGAGTTACTCCGGGCAATCCGGCTTAAACCAATCCAGGGTGTTCCCTCGCGAGGAGAAAAACGCGGATCCCTTCCCTTTTATCACCACGATCTTACATTTCTTCTCGTGTACGTTTCCAACTTCTTTACCCAAAAAGAATGTAACTCTTGTTTCTCTTTAATCATTTATTCTGTAGATTTCTCAAATAGCCGGTGGAATTGTTACAGGAAAACGGAGAATCCCAGCGAGATCACCTCGGACTCCGTCAGCGATCAAAGGTAATTAAAACAACTTTTGAGGAAAGAAAATATATCTTCCGCCGAGGTGAACAAAAGTTGAACTTGCAGGGTTTATTTTACATGGTAAAGAGAAGTTTCCAAACAGTACCGTTACGACGAAACTCATTACGCTCTTTTACGTATAAAACCTATGTTAAACAAGCAAAAAAATCCTTGTAAATTTTCTAGACTGGCATAAATTCTACGTCATATTTTAAAAGTACGATTTTAAAATTACGGGGTTTGAAGAACATGTCAAAAAATTAACAATTTTTCAGTGCACATGTTAATATGAAGTACGATTCTATTCAGCCTGTTCATGATTTATTATATGATTTGCTATAATCTTTTAATCGTTAGACATTTGATGGTGAATGAGTATTTGGAAATTGCAAGAAAACTTTTGAAAAGAAGTGTACCTTTGTCTAAAAGAAAAAGGTGAAACAAACAGATAGAGCATGTTTTCAAGAATAATTCCATCCGTGGCGAACCGTGTAATTGCGTTGCGGGTGAACGTAGAGATATGCCTGATATCAGAATAGCGAGATAATTTACAACAAACAGGAAAGGCGTATAACACGGCCACTCGTAGGTGCTTGAAATACGGTAGCAGAAGGAAGCAGCTCGTAGAGACGGCCGAAGGATTTATTACCGGACGAAAATTCAACCGCTTGCCAGTATTTACGGAATTCAAAATTCCCTAGCTTGTACAGCGTCGTTTCTATTTTAAATTTTAATGCACCTTCCAAACAAGAATCGCCTCGCAATCTTCGAACCGTTCAATCTTTCATACGTTTACAAAGTCCATCGGATAATCTCCCTTATTCTCGTTATAACGAATATCTCACATATTCCCATTATAACGAATATAATAGGTTTTTTTAAATATCAACTGATTCATTTCTTTACTGATTTTCGATTACGTCCAAAAATGCTTTTAACTACGTGGGGTGAGGTGACTAGATTTTTTAAATGATTTGGAGTTCTCAATATCCAATTCTGGGCTTTCGGGATGTTGATTATAAATGGTTAATGGGAAACTAATTAGAATCGGCAGCTCTATTCAGTGATTAATGAAAAACCATGCGAATATTAGAGAAAGCGATTCCGTCACCAGCTTCTGCGAAAAACTAATTAACAACCAACACAGCTTTTTCGCGTTTAATTAAAAAAGCACGAAGTAAAAAAAAAAAAGGACCGAGGGTGAATTCGCGATAAACTAGCCTTCGAACTTACCAGTTAGTTTAATTAAACCTTGTCTGAAAAGTTTTGAGTATACCCGATGTATTATTAACTGCTTGGCAATTTCGATCGACTTTCATTCTGCCAGAGATCTATCGCCTTCAACCTGAATCATTTATATTTTTCCAGAACTCTTAACAATCTTAGTTTTTACACCGCCGTTCATAAATCTCAACATTTAGTTTAAGGTTTGAGTGTACATACATATGTGTATTATATTTAGGCATAGGTCGTTTAAGAATTTGATATGACAGGTATCATTGATTGAGATGTTCTAAAAGTATGATTGAACAAATGAAGATTGACGTATTCTCCTGGGCTAATGCAAAATGCATTCAAAATGTGTGTAACTGTGCGGTTTTGGATTAACCCGCTGTACAAATATCCGGTTGCCGCATCAATCAACAATGCCGAGATTGTTCAATCACCAAATAATTGCTCGGTTACCACAGCGATTCGATATAACCAAAATCCAACATGCTTTTCGCGTGTTACTTTTATATGGAATATTAAAGAAGTTATATACAAAGATTTTTTCGTTGCCACATGATACTCGTCTCACAACGAATAAGTAACGAGTCACAGTTGTTTCACGTTGATAAAATATGCGGCCCGAGGGACAAAAGCTGAGTTTTGAGAGCGACGTGAAAATATTATTTCTAGAATAGAATTTAAAATGTTCGCGACTTGAAAAAATATGAAGTGATGAACGTCACAATGTTTGCCATCGGTAATGCATAAAATATTTCATAAACACGAGTCTGTGTCCATTAGAGCGAGATCCCAACACGGAATTATTAATCGAAGCGTAATGGATGTTGCAAACAATGAATAAAAATTAAACGACGATATTCAGTGCGCTGCTACACATGTAAACAGACCAGTTCCTTTCGATTATCTCTATACCGATAACAGTTGAAATTTTATGGAGAACTTATTTTTAGACTAAGGATTACAACACATTTATACGAAACTCTAATATGCAGATAGAAAATGTATTACTTGTATACATGAACACATCGTTATTGTTGAAGGGTTAAAGAAATCTCACTTTAGATTTTGTTCTTTAAACTGATATCACAAAATTGATAAAAATCTACTTATTTCCTTTTTATCAGTAAGCTTTCCTTCTGGTTTACAGAGTACATAGGAAGTCCCTGCCGAACAACAAGCTCACCCTGTATCTGGCTAACAGAGATCTGGCCGTGAGCGAATCAAAAATCGACAAATTACAAGGCGTGCTGCTGGTCGACCCGGAGTTTCTGCAGGAGAAAAGGGTAAGCGTTTTTCTCACTGTTATGGCACCTCGATTTTCCTTTTTATTTTCGCTCCCTCTTTTCCGATCCAATCGAACCTAAGAATCGTCGCGAACAGACGCTATTGAGATAAGGGAATGAAACGTAGGAAATATCGTCGTACGTGGCGAACACGTAACGTCGCGGTTTCATTTAACGGAACGAACACGCGGGCTCAATTTCCCTTGCCGAGCTCTCCAATTCTACATCAACTGCATTCTTCATCCTTTTGCAGAAATTAATTAGCCACTTGATAACCGACAGTGTAAAAATGTCACAAATTAAATTAAAAACTTGCCAATATAAACAATAAATTGTAATACTGGAATTTTTATCTAGCCACGGCTTTAAGATTTCAATTTCCTTT